CGCACGCCGATGCTGACACCTCCTCCGAGACCCAGCAGATTCTAGATCTGAAATTTTTCAATGCTTCCTTTCTCCTGCGGATGGGTTGAGGAGCTGGGTTTGTGAGGTCACCCGGATTAGGCGCCTCCAGTGTTCTGGTTGTGGTAGGGTCTGCAATAGCGGTGGCAGCGAGGTCCGGTGTGGCTACGGCGGCGAACTCGAACAGCCGCTTCCGACGGCGAACTTCGTCAGTTGGGCCACGATGGGCTGAATGGGCCGATACAGGCCTGGTAGGCCTACGCGGGCCTCACTGATCGGGCTTCGTACTAAGTAATGTCCTTGGTCTCCTGAACAGTGGTAGGTCGGGGTAATATATCTTGACAGACTAGATTCAAACGAAATTGTGTATGATTTGATTTTGGTTCAATTTGGTTTACTCAAACCGAACCGGTTTGCTGCCCCCTAAAAACATCCATGAAAGCTCATTCTCTCCTAAGTGGCATCCATGAAAGTCAAGTGAAGTAGTACGTATTCATAAGACCCGGTTAATGGGAGCTTGATGGTCCATCGTAGGGTAATTTTTCAGCCATCGGTTGTTCCGCTCGTGTCACGATGGTCGCCGGAATCATTTGTTATACCGGCGAGTCTTCAAATTTGGTCCAATGAAAATATTTTCCTTCCGGGGTGTTCCGCTGCGCGGCCTGTGTAACAAATGATTCTGGCGACCATCGTAACACGAATGGAACCACTGATGGCTGAAAAATTCGTTCGTAGTTGCTAGTTAGATTGTGGTACTGCAACGTAAACGATTTTGGGTCCTTTTCTTTGATTATCTGTAAAGCTTGATCCCTAGAACCACTATTTAGGGCTTCTGCGTATACATGGGCGACAGACTGTTTACAGCCTCTGGCGGAACATCCGTCGATCTGAAACTGGCCCCATTCGCAGACATCACCTTCCTTCTCTATGTATTCCTTGACGTCTGTCGCTGATTTTGCAGCTTGTACGTTTGGATGGAAGGTACTCCTTCTACCGGGAATGTTAATGTCGAAGAATCTGGCGTTAATGCAGCAGAACTGTCCTTCAAATTGTAAAAGGGCGTGGGGATGGGGTTCTCCGTTAGCGTGGAGTTCTTCGTGCAAAGTTTGATGAATTTCAGTGTTGTGGGATAATGGAGATTTTTCAGGAATTCCAGAGCTTCAATTTTTGGAACGGAACACCTCGGATATGTGAGGAAATAAATTTTGGAATTGATTTTAAATCGGTTCGAACCCATTACGAAGTGTCACTCTTTGGTGCCACTCTTTTGCCACGGAGCAAACTTCTCAAATAAATGGATGATAAGGGGACAATATATAGGGGGAGAGCATCCTGTAAATATTACCAGGATGCCCTCCCCCGTCCTTTATATATTGGGCCCCGCATAGGGTATTTTGGGTACTTAACTTAAGGGGTGTACAAACCCGACCCACGTGTCTTGAATTGAGTGAGGGACAGATTGAATAGTAGATATTTGACATGTGAAGATTCTAATTGAGTGGTGACACTATTCACAAGTGGAGGGTCCCGTTAAACCCCAGCCACACAAAATGCACTGGCATTTACACTACACACTCACCTTATTTAAGGTTGTGTGGAATATTTACCGCATTGACAATTTTGTCTCACAAATTGGAAGCGAGATGGATTTAACTCTAGAAATTACTAACTTTACCGGAAAAGCTGGTATTTTACTCCGAGACATATCGGTTTCGTGTTGCGATAACAGTGTCGCATTTATAGCATGGTATAACGCTCTACAGGCGGAGCTTGATCGTCTGTCTGAAGCATTGTTGCACGTTTCCGCTCAGAGCGTCAAGCCGGAGGAAAAATCAGCGTCCTCCGAAACTGGCGCATGAAAGTAGTTTGTAGTAAATATATTTAACCTGAGTGTGTTTAGTCGATTGTACATTGTAATAATTTATGTACACGTTAATGAAAATTTTATATGTATTCAATAAATGTGAAACTGAATATTTTGTGCTTGTTCTACATCAATGATGTAACACCGAAACATGTCTACAAAATATTGAATACCCTTAATGACATTATTAATACTTAAAACTCCTAGATTGTCTAAATACTGCATTACATGGAACCTAAATCTATTTTCAAACATTGAAGTTGATGGCTTCAATGTCGTCCAGATCGTCAAATATATCCAAGCTTTCTGCAATCCGAGAGCTCGTTGTGCCTTGTGGTTGAACCGGATCTGTATCTTCACGAAATCCAGCTTCATCACGGACGTGAGTGTTTGATGCTCCGTGATCTTGAAATACAGAGATTGTGTACTTCCCATATGTAGATTAAAACATTTCGTAGGGTTTTGAGAGGAGTCTGGCGATTTTTTGCTATGGCGGCGACGGCGGCGGATCCGCCACCAAAACCAAATCCTTGGGCTCAGAAATCATTCGCAGAGGTCGTGGGGGGACAATCGTCTCTTTCGGCTAAAATTCCAACGAGATTTAGAGGGATGCCTTCTATTTCGTTTTCAGATGAGGACATTAAAATTCTGGCTAATAAGCACGATCGTGACTTGATTGGTTATTTTTACAAAGGTAAACCCTCACTAACAGTGATTCGAAAATCTTTTGAGATAATTGGATTTAAGGGAACCTTTCATTTGGGAGTGTTAGATAATAAACATGTGCTGATTCATTTTACTATGGAGGAGGATTTCCTCCGTTGCTGGACTAGACAATCCTGGGTAATTCAGGGACATGTTATGAGAGTTACTAAATGGACCCCGGAATTTCGTCCAAATGTGGAATCCCCACTGTTTCTGGTTTGGATTGCTATGGAAGGTCTCCCTATCCACTTGCAGGATAAGAGAGCCTTACTGGATATTGCTCGGCTTATTGGCAAGCCTCTCAAAATTGATTCCGCAACGGCTAGTTTATCTCGCCCGGCTGTTGCACGTATTTATGTGGAGTTAGACCTCACTAAGGAAATGCCTAATAAGATCTGGATTAATTGCGGTTCCTATGGCTTCTCACAAACTATTGTTTATGAGAATCGTCCTGATTATTGTTCTTCATGCCTACACTTAGGGCATACTCATCTTAAATGTCCTAAGAAGGCCTTAGAACAGCCCAAGATGATTGCTTTGCCTAAGGACAGGTGGGTCGCAAAATCTCAAAATGCAGGTGAACAAGAGAAGATTAAAGAGAGGAAATTTACAGCTGAAGAAAAAGGGAAAGGGAAAGTTACAGAGATATTAACAAATGACAAGCAATCTATTTCTTTTCAACAGGATGGGCATGTCATCAGCGATTCTGAAGTGGAAGAAGTCTTCCTTGACTCTGTGGCTCAACCTTCTGCAGAGGAAAGGATGTCCATCCAATCATTGCTTCACAATGCAATCCCAGGTGTAACACCCCTAAATTTCCCGCCCAAAACATTGATATATTTAAAAGAAGTACTTTATTCATTCATCAAAGAGTTAAAGAAATACAGCGGAAGTCTAAAATAGGAAAATGGGTGTTACCGCCACATTCGGTCATCTCTTAACCGAATGCACAGGCAACTCAAAGTAAAACAATAAAAACTAAGGTAATAATAAGTAAATGTTTATTTCAGACTAGATTTAACTAAGGCATCTTCTAATTCGCACTCAAGCTCGAGCAATCCATCAATCCACATAGGCATCCAACTCATCACCTCATAAAATTTAAGGGAGAAGAGAGAGACAAGAGAAATAACAAAAATTAGCTTTAGAGCTAAGTAAGTACTACCCAACCCCGTAAAATAATCAGGTTTGACAAAAATAGATTTTTATATAATATCACATAAAAATGACGCACTCCACCAAAATACTTTTCTCTTTGATTTTTCTAAAATTTCTTCTTTACTAAAATCCTCAACTTCTCTTCGAAAATCTCTTAGTATCTCTTCTCTTTAAACTTCTTAAGAAAATCACTTCTTCTCTAACTTCCTAGTAATTTAGAAGGGCGGTGCTCAACCTTTCGACTGAGCCCGGTGGACCGTGGTTACGGACGGCCGAACAAGTGCCGGTACCACAACTGCTCTTGCGGAAACGAAACGACTACCTTAAGTGTGCACACCCCCTAAAAGGGATTCCAAGCCCTCCGAGTAGTAAGTCATCCCGAGTGGTCGGAACCCAACCACCCCAATTCTAAAATTCTTGAATGATTATGGACTACTACTATAATTTCTTCTTAAAAGGGATCATAGATCCAAATCTCACTTAAAAGGGATCATAGATCCAAATCTTACTTGAAAGGGATCATAGATCCAAATCTTACTTGAAACTTAAACTGTACTTCTTAGTAGTAGTAGCTCTAATCACCCTCCACATTTATCCGGATGTGGAAAACCGACACCTCGGATTACTCCCGAGATGCTCACTTCTTATGAAAATGTAAATTTTATCTTCGCTTAACAATACTTCAAAAATACTTCTTAATTTCTCTAAAAAGTCTCGAAGGTGTTTAAAAATATTTAATACCCCAAAAGTACTTGGTTTATACTTCTTAACTACTATATATATAATATCTCCTCAAAATCACATACACAAAATTCACAATTCACACTTAATCACATAATGCATATAATAAGCATATAATACGAGGAAACAATTTTGGATTGGCAGAGAAACTTACCTTAAGTCCTGATGCTCCTAGTTATCCTTTTCTAATCCGGTCTCTAGATAATCACCTTTTTAATTAAATATGATAAATTAGTCACTTATTCTATTTGTAATTACTTTACCCGATTTTCTCGTTTTATTTTATTATTCGCATTAACTTAGTTTATTCGAATTTATTAATTTAGTTAATTAATTATTCGAGTTAATCACTTTTTATTAATCAAATTACCTGATTAATTCAGCCATTAATTACAATATTTGAATTCTAATTATTAAATAAAATATCCGAATATAATTATCTACAACATCCAATTTTTATACAATAATCACCATTAATTTACTCTACTCATAAAAATATTATTTATTTGCTTTATTTATATTAACACATTAATTTATGAGTTCAAATACTTTAAATATTTATATGAGGTCTGAATCTCTAATAATGTAGGGATGGACCCAGGAATTCTTAATATAGTGATCCTGTATTAATAAGCAAGGAGTATCACTCGGAGGGGGAGCAGTCCAAATATGAGGCAGAATGCAATCTACAAGGGTTGGACCCAAGAATTCTTAACAGGATTGACTTCATGGCAAGAAGACTTGCAACAGAAGACACAACCAATACCTCTGACAATCCTGGAGCAGAAGAAGAATTCCAACAGCACAACCAGCCTGCATCAGAAAATATTAACCAATGAGATGGAGAAGAAGAGAATTTTATCAAGGTAGAAAAAAGGGGGGCTAGGAGAAAATCACCTACTGATCCATCTTTGAGGAGATCAACTAGAAGTGCAGCCAGGGGGGCTGAGCTCCAATCTCTCAAATGAATTGCCTAATCTGGAACACTAGGGGTCTGGAATCCTCCAGTTCCAGACTTAGTTCCTTAGTTCAACAATGGAGGTTGATGCTTTTGGTGATCATTGAACCTATGGTTGATAGCTCTAAGATTAATCATTACAAATCTGTTTTGGGTTTTTCAGATGCTGCTTTTTCTTCCTCTACTAAAATCTGGATTTTTTGGAACTCCAAAGATCTTGTTATCAATCAGTTTCACTGGCATACCCAATTTGTACATTTCAAAGTTACTTGTAACATGTATAAAGGCTGGATTACAGGAATATATGGGAGGCACAGCTACATCACTAGGAGAGAACTTTGGAATTCTCTGACAAATATCTCATCTAGTATGTCTGAGGGTTGGATACTGGGAGGAGACTTTAATGAAATTGCCAAATATGATGAGCATAAAGGAAATTCAATACCTTTTTTAAAGGGAGTAAATGAATTCTCAGACTGCATAGCTGTTTGTGACTTGATTGATCTGCCATGCTCTGGCCCTAAATTTACATGGACAGGAGTTAGATCTAATGGCCAAGTTTGGAGAAGGCTGGATAGATGTTTTTTCAACAAGCATTGCATTGATTACTTTGATCATATTCAAGTGTCTCTTCTTACTAAATCACCATCAGATCACAATCCCATTTTCATTCAGTGTTCCAATAAAGGCTTTTCTGCACCTAAGGCCTTTAGGTTTCAGAATAGGTGGTTTAAACATGCATCATTCTCGAATTTTGTTAAGGCCAAATGGAGTTCATATGAATATGGAGGAGGTATGAGGGGACTGATCTTCAAGTTACAAAGTCTGAAAAAGGATTTAAAGATTTGGAACAAAGAGGTTTTTGGTAATATATTTGATGAAATCAAAATTTGTGAACAAGAGGTGCTTTTGGCAGAAAAAGCTTTTGAAGAAAGACCAAGTGATGATACTAAGGCGGACTGGGCTCATAAGAGGGGACTTTTGCTCCAAAAAATCAACCTTGAAAGGAAATTTTGGAAGCAAAAGGCCCACATCAGATGGCTTAAAGAGGGGGACTGCAACACAAAGTTCTTTCATTCTTTTGTCCAAATAAGGAACAGGAAACAGACTATTACATCTATAAAAGATCTTTCAGGGAACACTGTTACCTCTCCTAATGATATTGGGAAGGCTGCAGTTGACTTTTTTAAAAATTTGTACTCTGTCCAGACCAGTGTGGTTCACAATGAGATCCTGCAACAAATTCCACAGTTAATTACACATGAGGACAACCAACTGCTTACACAGCTACCTAATCAGGTGGAAATTAAACAAGCTATTTGGGGTTTGAATCAAAATAGTGCATCCGGGCCAGATGGTTTCAATGGAAAATTTTTCAGGAAGTGCAGGGATATTGTGGGGATGGATGTTACCAGAGCTGTCCAGGAATTCTTCTTAGGAATTCCTATACCCCAAGGCATGTCTAGCTCTCTAATTCTTTTGATTCCTAAATCAGACAGTCCTACTTCCTTTGCAGACTATAGACCTATTTGTTTGTCTAATTTTGTTAGCAAAATTTGTACTAAAGTCTTAACTACCAGGCTTAGTACAATTTTGCCTAAGATTATTTCAAAAGAGCAGGCTGGTTTTATGGCATCTAGGGATATGGCTGATCAAATCTTGATTGCCCAGGAAATGATTCACAGCATAGACAAGAAGGTTAGAGGGTCAAATTTGGTGATCAAACTTGATATGGCCAAGGCTTTTGATAAGCTATCTTGGTCCTACCTTTCTGGTATTCTGTTAAGTTTTGGTTTTTCTTCCGAGTTTATTCAGTTGGTCATGAATAATCTAAGCTCTATTTATCTGTCTATATTGATTAATGGTTGCCCTCATGGTTTCTTTAAACCTACAAGAGGGGTCAAGCAAGGAGACCCTCTTTCTCCTTTCATATTTGTTATAGCTTCTGAAGGTTTCTCGAGGGGTTTAAATTGGATTATGAGCCAAGGTAAAGTCAAACCTTATTGGATGGGCAGTTCTGGATACCCCTTATCACATCTTGGCTTTGCTGATGACCTTCTGATCTTTATTAATGGAGATTCCAGGTCTATTAATAATTTCAAACATTTTCTGGATAGTTATCAGGAGGCTTCAGGTCAATCAGTTAATTTGGAGAAGAGTGCACTTATTTGTGGTAATTCTACTTTGACTAGACAGGCCCACATTAAGAATTTGTTGGGCATGAAAATGTCATCTCTTCCTTTAAAATATCTGGGAGTGAACATGCATAAAGGACTGAACAGATATCAGTATTGTGGGAATTTAATCAAGCAGTTTGAAAAGAAACTCTCTCCTTGGAAGCAAAAGAATCTGTCCCAAGGGGGCAGGCTCATCTTAATTAAACATGTTCTAAATTCTATCCCTCTTCATGTTTTAGCTGTTGACTTACTTCCAAAAAAAGTTATCAAAGTGTTGAATAGCAAATTGGCTGCATTTTTTGGGGTTCATCTAATTCCAAGGATAAACATCACTGGATTGAATGGTCTAAACTTTGTCTTAGTACTGAGGAAGGGGGCTTGGGGATTAGGTCATTAAATGATATGGAAAAGGCCTTTACCCTCAAGCTCTGGTGGAAATGGAAAACAAGCTCCTCACTCTGGGCAGATTTTATAAGAGCAAGATATGATAGAAATGGGACTATGATACCTAAAGTTGGTGACTCTACTGTTTGGAGAAGAATTTGTTCCATTGATGACTATGCCTCTTCCTTATGCTCCACCATCTCTTCTGGTCTCCTTACCTGGAATGAGGAAGACAATGGTAATTTCACCTTCAGGTCAGCCTTTGAAGAGGTCAGAGAACATTCAATGACCAGTTTCTCTTTTCAACAATTATGGCATCCTAGGCAACAACTAAAGATTAAAATCTTTCAGTGGAAAGTTTTAAATAAGATATTTCCCTTCACTGATAACCTTGGCAGATTCAGAAGGTTGCTTAACCCTTCCATTTGTCCTTTATGCAGACAACAATCTGATTCCCAAGATCATGCCTTGCTTAATTGCCCAGTGATCAGGCCGGTTTGGCAATATTTTATGGGGATTTTGGGTATTCCTTTTACTCAAAATTTCATCTCTCAAGTCTACAGATCTTGGTGGTTAAATGCAGGAAGCAAAAATCTGGTAGATATTTTCAAGCAAAACCTAGCGGGAATTATAAGCTGGCATGTCTGGAAGATTTATGCAAATCGGGTCTGGGGGATGGGGGTCCAATTCCATCTACAGAGAACATCATTATTCAAATAAAAATTTACACCCAGAATTGGACTGCCAGCTTCCCTAGACTGAAAATCCGTAATATTGGTTCTATTTTGTTTGAGGAACACTTAATTCCTCAGAATTATAAATTGGGTGGAATGAACATGCAAATTATTCGATGGAGGAAACCCAGATTTCTTAGTAAATTAAACATCGATGCTAGCTACTTATCTGGCCGAGGTTCCGGAGGAGCCATTATGCGAGATACTAGAGGAGGTTTTCTTGGAGCTATAGCTTTTCCCATTCTAGCTTCCTCGCCGTTGGACGCAGAGCTCAAGGCCATCCATTTTGTTGTGCGATGGGCTGTGAACGAAGGATTCGATGCTTTTCAGGTGGAGTCGGACTGCTCTTTGGCGATTGCTTACCTTTCAGGTAGGGCTACGAGATGTTGGTTTGATCTGATTCAGGAAGTTTTACAGTGGAAAATTAGGAAAGCTATTGTTTTTGGACATGTCTACAGAGAAGCTAATTGGACCTCCCACCATTTAGCTGAAATTTGGGCCTCTCGCTTTACTACTTTTAGTAGCCCATCCGAATTGCCTATATTTGCAAAGCGGGCTTTCTTGATGGACCGATTTGGTATTCCTTCCCTTAGAATTTAATTACCTTGTATAACTTTATTTCTGGTTGTTTTTAAGGGAGGTTTTGGTCTGGTCCCCCTCTCTTTTGTTCTGTGTCGCTTCTTAATAAAATCTGGCTAATGTTCCCTGGCATTAGCCCCACTGATTTTGGTGGTTTGCCTTCCGGGGTAAAAAAAAATACTACGTAAAAAATAAATCCCTATATGTACGCCTTCCTTTTCTAACATTCACGATTACCGACCTTTGGGTTACTGCGACCCTCGGCCCGGCTCATCGCGAGGGTTCTTGGATGCAGCTGTCCACGACAGGGCCACCTAGTGGTTTGTCGGACGTCACATAGAAAAACTGTTGGCCGGTGAGATTTAAAAACTCAACTCACATTGGGCGCACTCCCTCATAAAGAGGATGTTAAGTGCCTCGTTGCCCTCGGGCCCTAGCGGTGTAAATGGCACTGGGGTACGATCGTCGACCGAGCACTTGGTGCCGCGCGGGATTGTGTGTACCCTAAAATAACACACATCATTGGGGCAGTACCCTAAAAATGATGGTGGACATTTATCACTGGAGCTTCGCTCAGTCATTATTTAATTCAGGATATTTAATCCCTATTAAATAATTGTGATAACAAACAACGGGAGAATTCCTACCATTTAACATCTTAATAAAAATGAGGGAGTTAATACGGGACTTACCTCAAATGGAACGAACTAGCTGGCTTGGATAAGAGTTGCTTTTTTGACTTGATTGAGAATTCCAGTCAATCAACCGGTGGGCGTAGCTCAACTGGTAGCGAGGGAGTGTCACAAGGGTTAAGTCTCAGATTCGAATCCCGGCAACTGCAATGAGAGGTTACTATACTAAAATATGCATAGGGCCTCTACAAGTACCGGGGACAGAGTCACACTCTCTATCTGTCAGATTGAGATTATAGTCCAATTTACATCCTCCCAACGTATCATCCGGTCGGGGTTGGGGCCCTCAGAGATGCAGTGTCATCCTTTTTTTAAAATTCCATCCGATCACTCCCGACCATACGATCATTACTCCTGACAAGCTACTACTAGTAGCTCCTACTAGCCCTCACCTTCGGCATGTGGGAAGTCCGTGACCAAGAGAGTGGCCGCACGGCCACTGTTGCTCCCCATCAATTAGCTCCCTCGTCGTTTGAAGACTGCAGCGGCTGCGGAGGTTCGAGAGGCTGCCGAGTTGCGTGGACGTACGGCCACGGGGGCTAACTTGGCTCAAAGTTGAGCGGTGATGGGGTCGGAGGACCCGTCTGCGGGCTGGGGAGGTAGCGAGGTCCGCCGCTAAAGGCGTCTGGCCCACGACCGGTGTACAGAGCTGCGGCCGTAGATCCATTGCAATGGGCTAGCGGCCGCTAGACTTGGGCCTGCGACGAAGAACGTCTGCCGACGCACGCCGATGCTGACACCTCCTCCGAGACCCAGCAGATTCTAGATCTGAAATTTTTCAATGCTTCCTTTCTCCTGCGGATGGGTTGAGGAGCTGGGTTTGTGAGGTCACCCGGATTAGGCGCCTCCAGTGTTCTGGTTGTGGTAGGGTCTGCAATAGCGGTGGCAGCAAGGTCCGGCGTGGCTACGGCGGCGGACTCGAACTGCCTCTTCCGACGGCGAACTTCGTCAGTTGGACCGCCAGGCTTGGTGCTGCTGGCAGCGACATCCCTGTCGCAGATCCGGAGCTCTCCAGATCAAAATTCTAGAATTTTTTCTTCTGTTTTGCTGAGATCAGTCTGTTTCCGTATGAAACTTTTTTTGTGTAAAATCAAGAACGTTAATCTTTTTGAACTGATTCCTACAGACGACACCAGTGTTGAGTTTAATCAATCCAACACGATATAATAAATATAGATATAATTTGATATAAACACTCAATTTTTATGTGGAAACCCGAAAGAGAGAAAACCACGGGACTGTTTTGGGTCAATGTCCAAGCCCACTCATTTTATTAATGCTCTCCTCACCAATACATTATACAAGCTCTCATTAATAGCGTATTAGACTAGCTATTTAGAGAGAGGGAGGGGAAGCGAAAGGATCCTTTATTGGAAGGGAAATCCTCCTATTTATAGAGGAAAGGAGAAAGAGTACTCCACCCTAATGGGCCACGATGGGCCGATACGAGTCTGATAGGCCTAAACAGGCCTCGCTGATCGAGTTCTGTGCTAAGTAATGTCTTGGGTTCCTGAACAGTGATAGACTGGAGTAATATATCTCAACACACTAGATTCAAACGAAATTGCGTATGATTTGATTTTGGTTCAATTTGATACAATTTAGTTTACTCAAACCGAACCGGTTTGCTACCTCCTAAAAACATCCATGAAAGCTCATTCTCTCACAAGTGGCATCCATGAAAATCAAGTGAAATAGTATGTATTCATAAGACCCCGTTAAGTAACGTTGCAATTGGCATAATCGGTTAAAACTGATGAAATTGTGAAATTCTGATTGAACTGGTTATATTTTTAAATTCTGCTAAATTATAGAAAAATTACACTCCGTATTTAAAATATATTTAATTAATGAAATAAAAAACTAGATGAAAATCAATGTAAACTTTTCTTAACCTTTTTCTTTATATATCCAATTTTTATCAAATTTGAGTTTTTTGCGACTTTACAAGACTTGATGTAAATTTTAAATATGTAAATTTATTAACTAAAAATAATTTTATTATTAACAAGGATCACTTAAGTTTATGACATGTCAAATATCCTAAACTCAAGTGGGACCATTACCCAAACCAGAGGTGGTATACAATATTCATCCAATCTCTTTTTTATTTGAGTAATGTGAGTTGATTTTTCACGTGCAACGCACGGGTTCATTGTCTAGTATTAATAAGAATAAGAATAGTGCGTCTCCGTAGGGCTGGGTTCGGTTTGGGACCCGAACCGATTTGTCAGTTTGTAGAACCAAACCGTTTCGGTTTTAGGAAAAATGGAAACCGAAGCCGAACCGAAATGGAATCGGGAACCGGTTTTTTGGGAACCGAAAAATCAGTTTGATTTAATTGGGAACCGAAATACCGAAATAGAGAGCCCAATAAGCCCAAATAATTTTTGTACTACAATATTGACCCATTAGAAGCAACCGAAATACGAAATATCCGTATAATGTGACTTCCTAGTCACAATATTAAACTGCAGTAGGTCCCTTGTTATATAGAAGTGTTTGAGAAGCAACCCTCTTATTGTCTCCGGTGTGGGACGAAATAGTAGAGGAGGAAAAACTGAAAAAACTGAAAAGGCTAAAAACAAAATGGGGCCGTTGGGAGTCGAACCCAGGACACTTGAAAGGAGAATCGAGTGCGCGGCCAACACACTAATACATAGAGTATGTTTATACTGCACGCCAGAAAAAATTACTCCCTCCGTCCCTTTTTAAATGTCCCGGAAGAGGGTGTCACGAGTTTTAAGAAAAGTAGGTTTGTGTGGTTGATATTAATAGATAAAGTAAGAATAAAGTAAGAATGATTTTGAGTCACACAAACTTTACCAAATAAGGTATGGGACAATTAAATAGGGACATCCCAATATGGTAAAATGGGACATTTAAAAGGGGACGGAGGGAGTATATCATTTGTAAATGTCATTACTACTAGTAATAATTATTATTATTATTATTAAAAAATCGGTTCGGTTCGGTCCAAACCGATAATTTGAGTATGAAAACCGATTTCGAACCGACTTTTTTCGGGTCCCGATTTTCGGGTCCCAAAAATTATCGGTTCGATCCGGTTCGGTTTTTTTCAATGCGGTTCGGTTATTTTCGGTTCGGTTTTCGTTTTTTGGTTCAAGATGCCAGCCCTGCGTCTCCGTTCTATGGCTTTAAAAGTAGTTTTGTTCTTCAGCTCTGTCCTAAATACATCGACGTGCAAGTACAGTTGTGCACTTGTGCCTCGAACTAGAAATTTAAAGCATTCCACCAAGTACAATTACATTTGTCAGTTACCCATTAAACGATATATATGTAGCCAAATGGCAGTTGACATAAAGCCCGAATAGACAGATATATTATGTTGATCTTCACACACCAAATCATGTTCTTTCCCTGCAATATGAGGGATAGAGTTCCAAAAAAACATCAACTATATTAAATTATCAAACCTCTATATCGAAACCATGGCCATCACATTCCATGTCCAGCATTGTTGAATGGACCAGTGACTGCAACAAAAAACTGACCATCAACTATATAGTTTTTGATAAGCGGTACATGAAACCCACCAGTTTGACATGTCAATATATGTTACTCCATCAGTTTATGTGTTTTTCGATTAGCACAATTGGTTAGATTGATATTAGTTGTTGTCTTCGCCTATTTTGTTTTGTTTGTTACATTCCTATTTTAATCATCATATTGAACAAGACCAAACCAAAAATGTTCATACCGCAACAGATTCAAAACACACCAGATGATGATGTTATATTCATTTCAGGCAAGAATAAAGACAAGATTAGACCAGACTTAAAATCAGACTAGACTTTACAGAACTCAGATCACAGATCACACATTTTCAGGCAAAAAGAATAAGTGTACAAGGAAAGCAAAAAAAATAGATCTACATTAGGGATGACTTTGATTAAGGGAAGGTTGATTAAGGCTATTATCATTCTTCTATTTTAGATCTACATTAGGGATGACTTCATATTGAAGAAATCTGAAATCCTAGAAGAAAATGTATAATCAGTTTTAAAGACTGTTCTCTTGGTCTCTGGTTTTTCTCCCTGGTCTATCTATTACTCCCGGATATACCATATGTTCATTCATGAAGCACTTCAGCTCCATGCCAACTAACAGCAGAACAAAAAGATACATGTTCTTTGAACCTTTAGAAGTCCTACATTTCAGTGGAAATGACATTCCAATTAGCATAAAAGACCTTTGATGACGAACCGGTATGCATTAGTGTTTGGTAGAAGTAAAAAGAAAACCTTGCACCATTGAGAACGAACGCAATCAGACAAGAGTGTATTAACGCGGTAAGAAAGTAAATAGTACTGTCTCAATCTCGTCAATTAAGAAAGGATGGAGTGTCTACCTGTAACTCCTGTTCAGAAGCTTTAAGTCTTTCACCACAATCTCGTACATGGAGATAACATTTGTGCAACTGCATTCATAAAAGAATAAAAGTTCTCTACCTGCACCAGCAGTATAAGAACCCAAATGGGTTTGTGGGTGTAAATGTAGATTTACCTTGGCCACTTGTAGCTGCCTCTGCAACCTCAGCGACTTTACAGCTTTTAGTGAATCCTCTAGCTTCTGTTATCACCAAACAATTGAATGAATTGACCTCATTTATTTTTCATATGTATGGCTGTATGCATATATTTTAAGAACAATAAAACTAACGTTCAGTAAAACTAAAATATACTACCCACAAAAAAGGTTGGTCGGTAACGTTTTGCCCCAAAAAAAATCATATTAAAAGTCATCTTTCAGTTTAAAGTAACATTTATGTAAGGCCAAGTGGCAACAGGATTTGGTCAATTACTCCAAACACAATAATGGAAATGAGTTTTAGGGTTACAAGTGAGCATTAATAATAATTGGTAAAAGTTTGTACCTTGATTAGTTGAGTAAAAACATAAAGTTGTACCTTCCTAAAACGACTATTTTTTAGGCAACAGGAGTATATTTGCATGGCAAATATCAATTATCTGACGTTTAAATATGTTTTTAATCTCTGCAAATATAGTATATTTTGTTTTACATCCCTCCAAAAAAAATTCATTTGTGAAGTTTATGTTGATTTTCTTTTTAGTCTATCATGGATGATAACAACCTTCTTTTGACCTCATAAAAACCCAACTAATAGGTTTCCTCTACCTCTTTGTCATGTTATTCAAAAATTACTTAATTTTATTTTTTAGAAGGTTTTTAATATATATTTTTTAAATGTGAATAATTACTTTTACATTATTTTAACTCTCATATTAGCCTCAAAAACAAATTATATAAAAGGATAAATTTAAATGTTTCTAGTAGATGTATCATTTATGCAACTTATAATAACTTTTTTCTAACTAGAACGATTTCGGAGTTAGAGATGGGCTAGATAAGAAACAAAACAAATATTTTGCAGGGACCTAAAACAAAGTGTATCATATTTCCAGGCGCTAAAACATATTTATGCCATTATCTAATTATTGTAATATGGAAAGGTAAGAAAGTTCTAATTTCTTCCTCACTCTCTCAAAGTTGTTTAACTCTCACAAGTCACCGCAACAGACTATACCATATTTGCTTTCATTTATTATGTTCAAATCTAAGCCTTTCACCTTCTCTACATTGTAACTCTTCCCCATTATATTGTCAAGTGCATGCATAAGTGCATTTTATATGAGTCCATTTATAATTTTCAATATTAAATTCATCAATTATTAGTAAAAGATTTTTCATATTAGATAAATGTATCCTACAAAGAGCATTAACACACAGCGCGAAAAGAAATACAATCACAAACTTTGGAATCCAACGTTCTACTGAAGGAATTAGTTCATGATTGAAAATACAAAACATATTTTTAAAAGGGAAAATTGACAAGAGTAATCCCACCTTTCACTGTTCTTCTCATAATAATCCCACTTTTACGTAATCGCAGAATAATCTCAACTTTGCACCTCATCTTCTTTCTTTGGACCCTGACCTGTTGATGACGTACTATACCAGGGTTTTTACCCTTTCTTTGAAAACCTTATATAAATAATCTCACATTTCACAAATCTGCTCAAAATTGTCCCATATTTCATTTTATCTTTTTTCTCCCTAAAATTTTTCTTTCTTTATTTTCATCCCTAGACACTTTTATTCCTTTTTCTATCCTTCTGTTCTTATTTCTTTTTCATTTTTATTAGTCTATTTCTTACTCTATTAGGAGATTTTTTTGTAAAATTTCTCTTCAAAATAGCTCTTTTTTGTCATTTTCTTTTTCTTTTCGTATTTTATTTCATTTCCCTTTTTATGTTTTTCTTCTTAATCATTCTCTTCTTATTAAAGATCTTTTTCTCACTTTACTTTTTGTTATGTTTTCTTTTTATTTTCATTTTTCCACTTTTATATTTTCACTTTTAAAATAAGATCTTTAATAAGAAAAGAATGATTAAGAAGAACAATATAAAAAGGGAAATGAAATAAAAATACGGAAAGAAAAAGAAAACGACAAAAAGAGCTATTTTGAAGAGAAATTTTAGAAAAAATCTCTCCTAATAGAGTGAAATAGAATAATAAAAATGGAAAAGAAATAAGAACAAAATGATGGAAAAAGTAATAAAAAAATGTCTAGGGATGAAAATAAAGAAAGAAAAATTTCAGGGAGAAAAGAAAAAATGAAACATGGGACTGTTTTGAGCAGATTTGTGAAAGGTGGGATTATTTATATAAGGTTTTCAAAGAAAGGGTAAAAAACCTGATACAGTAGATCATCAACAGGTCAGGGTCCAACGAAAGAAGATAGGGTGCAAATGTGGGATTATTTTGGGATTACGTAAAAGTGGGATTATTATGAGAAGACCAGTGAAAGGTGGGATTATTCTTGTCAATTTTTCCTTATTAAAAACCATATTGGCAATAGAGAGTATTAGTATGTAGCCGACTAAACAATTTCCATAAATATTTCTATATTTTAGTATATAATATTGTCATGGACCCTAAGTCCCTCCCCAACTGGCTTTTATTTCGGCCTACATCACTGTGCATACTGTATAACTAAAAGCGTGATTTGTTATGAAAAAATAAACAATCGCAAACTGGGCAGGAATACATTACAGCAACAAAACTCAACCTGAAGCTTTTCCTGTAACTCTGAAACAAACATTGTCTTCTGCTGCAGCTTTTCCTCAATCTGAGGTATCTAGAAAAGCATGGAAGATTAAGTTCACAGTGAGAGGCAAGAAATACAAATAGTAAGAAGAGTATAGCAGTAGCATGTCGACTTAGGAAAAATAAATGAGACCAATATACTGAAAGGAAAACTCGATCGTTTTCTCATAGACATATTGCACTTTTGGTTTTTCAATGTTTCCAGCCAGAAATAAAGACAAATATGGATGAACAAATTACGGATGAAACAAAATAAGTATTTCAGTGTTGATATCCACTTCTCATATCAAATGTCAAAGGATTCACATAATCAAGGATAACAAACATAGAGGGGGGGATGAACACCTAATTATTGATTAATGTCCAGGTATGGCAATGTAAACCATCTGTTGCATGATGTACTGTGTAACACTACAGATTAAATCTGTAATCTATTTACAGGTCCAAACGAGCACTTGAACATACCATATGTCGAAGCACCTCAAAAACTATCAAGAATATGCAACTAATTGAGCAGTTACCTCATGTTGAAGTTCATCAAGCTTTCTATTTGAAATCTCCAGTTGTTTTTCGACCTAATTAGAGAAAAAAAACTAATTAATTACCTCAGTATCCTACAATGCACATTCTAAAGGCAGGAATCTCAGTGAAACTATAATTAACATACTGCATACCTCGTCATGGTTGTTTTCACTTGATTCGGGTGAATGATCTCTATTAAAGAGATGTATACTAGACCTGCTTAAAAAAAAATCATCAACATAAGCTATTATGACAAGCCAATTGCTGAAAGCTCCAATGCTATTTTGGAAAACAAAATAGTTAAAATTTGGGTGATATTCAGTTGCACCCACAAAACGGCTGGAAAGGATATCATACCCATTAGTTAACTTAGAAGTTAGTCCCCTATCTCTTCTTTCATGATTGTCATCATTCTTCTGCCTCTTTCTACGCTGATCTCTGATTCTTTCAAAGCTGTCACTATTATTACTTTGATGGTCTTTATCATAATCCATATCTCTTCTGTAGTTTTCAGCTTTATCTCTATCCCCATTATAGTCTCTTTCTCGACCACGATTATGTATTCTAGGGTATTCTCTCTCCCTGTAGTGATCACGGTCTTGAGACCGGTCCATATGTCCATCCTTATGTCTATCATAATCATAATCACTGTCTCTTTCCCAGGTACCTTTGCCGCTGTCCAAGCCTCTTCTAGTGTGACGATGAGAAGTTTGATGACCAAAATTTGACCTACCACCTCTGGTCTTGACGTCATTTACTCGTATGGCCCGCCCATCCATGGTCTAGTAATAGTTGAATCATAACAGAATAGAGAAACCAAATTAATATAAATGGTAACACAACAGTAATTAAAACATTATGGAATAACCAGAAGTACTGACATAAAGACTTACCTGTCCATCCATATCAGAGATAGCCTGCTGAGCAGATCGAGGGTTTGTGAAGGTGACAAAACCATAACACTTTCCCCTAACTTGATGGTCATTTATTATCTGGAAATCAAACATGTCAAAGGCATCAAGCAGAGTACATAGTATATATAATACGTATAAATAAAAACAAGTGATGCAAAAAAGAAAAAATGATGTCTTTTTCAAACAAAACCATATGAAATGATGCAATAGCCCCTCTCTGGGTCTCTGGGTCTCTGGTCTCTGGGACTCTGGGTATTAGTGAAAACGATTCAAAGTAGCCAACCAAATTGAATCTTGAATAACTACTTCTGCTAGAAAGGTACTGATTACATTCAGCGATCAAAGTGCATGTACATAAGGAGTTTGATCAAATTCCATGGTAGGTCATAACATATGTACTTCGATAATAACTTTTAAATTATTGCTTTTTCAACAATGTTCTTATTAGCATAGTACAGAGCCTGTTATTAAGCTTTCAGATGAATCTCCATCTCTTACAAAAACTACATATTTAGCTGAAAATTCCCAAGTACAACGACAACATCCAAGCCTTAATCCCAAAAGAGTTTGGAGTCGGCTAGCATGAATTGACATATGACATCTGAAAATTCCCAAGTGTGAACTCTGGAGTAATATTCTAATTTACTTTCAACCAGATTTCTTACTATATGATTATAAAAAGACCTTGCATTTCAGGTTTCAATCGAACAACAGTCAAGAAAACAGCCAGAGTGACATGGGGTAAAGACTTAATGCCATTTAATGCAAAGTTGCAAACCAACTATAAACTCAGAGTTTGAGGTTTCACAGCCATCTCTTAGGCCATCTCAGGCTACGATTATTATTATAAACAGTAACAGAAGCAAAAACGCACAAAACACACATACTAGTATTAAGTTTGGCTATCAACGCCAACACTTCATAGAAAAATTCAGCTTTAGCTAACATCGAGTAAAAAATTAGAGAGATAACATAGAGAATAAAAACTCTATTCGGGTGCACTTGACGTCAAAATGAAAATTAGAAGTATGGTTTTAAATAAAAACTCTATTCGGGTCAGTGCATACAGAAGAACAAAGAGGAGGGCGACCTTGACTTCGACCACGGAGCCGTATATATCAAAGACTTTCCGGAGAGTTTCTTCGGTAGTACTATACGGTAGACCGCCAACGTATATCGAACTTTCGTCGTCCATTGTCATCTTGGCAGATGCTCCAACCGTCGGTTTAGTGCTACGGCGCAGCTACAAGGAAATTTTATGCAGGTAATACTAGTGTAAAAATGTTTGACAAATTCACTTTTCTCATGGATGTAGGGTGTGTTTGGAAATGGGTTCTTACTTCTTTTTAAAAACTAAGAACCGGTTTTTCCCTATGAAAGTATGAGAAAGAAATTGCACACTGATAAGTTGGGAGCCAGAAGTGAGAGATGTTATTTTGTGTGGTATCCTAAAGAAACTAGAGGATACTATTTCTATCATCCTGAGAAACATAAAATCATTATTTCCAGACATGCACGATTCCTAGAAGAAGACTCTGTCTTCAAGGAATTCAATCGTGAGAAGATAGTACTAGAAGAAATTCAAGAATCACAAAATAACATAGAGGATGAAGACTTGTTAGATGGTTAAAACAAGGATTCAGTGGGAGGATTAAGCGGAAGTATGTCTCTAGGAGGATATTCTTCAGCTAGTGGGAGTAATATAGGAAGCACCTCGCACCAGCAAGTGGTTCCTATTAGGCATGAAAGAAATGACATGGTTGTCATTCCTTCTGCACCTACTTCTCCTTCTCTGGAAACACTTAAAAGTGTAGCACGAGAAAATTCTCCGAGCATTGGACAGTCCAATGAAAGAGAGCCTCTTCACAATCAGAATGAGCAGTCTGAACAATCGCAAAATATTCAACTCCGTAGGTCTACTAGGATTCGTCATGAACCAACTAGGTTTGGCTTCCTCATGGAGGATCATGATGATGTTGAAATTCCTCACAAGGATGAACCTAAGACTTACACTGAAGCAATATTAGATATTGATTCAGAGAGGTGGCGAGAGACCATGAAATCTGAAATGGACTCGATGTATATCAATCAAGTATGGAACTTGGTTGACTTGCCTGTTGGGGTTAGACTCATTGGATGCAAATGGGTTTTCAAGAAGAAAATTGATGCCGAAGGCAAGGTGCAAACATACAAAGCTAGGTTAGTGGCTAGAGGTTATAGTCAAAGAGAGGGAATTGACTATAGTGACACCTATTCGCCAATTGCAAAACTCGAAGTCCATTCGAATTTTGCTTGCAATAGCAGCATACTATGATTATGAGATTTGTCAAATGGATGTCAAAATTGCTTTCCTTAATGGAAACCTCAAGGAGGAGGTGTACATGGTACAACCTGAAGGTTTTATATCCAAGTCAAATCCCAAATCAGTATGTAAATTGGAGAAATCCATTTATGGGCTAAAGCAAGCCTCAAGGAGTTGGAATATCCATTTTGATGAAGCAGTCAAATCGTTTGGCTTCATCAGAAGCAATGAGGATGCGTGTGTGTATACAAAACGTAGCAATGATAGCGTGGTCTTTATGGTCATATATGTTGATGACATTCTGATCATAGGGAATGATATCCCCTTATTGAAGTCCGTGAAAGAATGCTTGTCCAAAATCTTCATGATGAAAGATCTAGGTGAAGCATGTTATATCCTTGGGATTAAGATCTAAGAGACAGAGTTAACATGATGTTGGGTCTTTCACAATCCACGTATATCGACAAAATACTACATCGATTTAAAATGGAAGAATCTAAGAAAGGATTCCTCCCGATGGGTCATGGGATATCGTTATCAAAGAAGGATAGTCCTTCAACTGATGATGAGATCAAACGCATGAGAAGGATTCCATATGCTTCAGCAATTGGTTCAATCATGTATGTTATGATTTGTACTAGGCCAGATGTGACTTATGCGCTTAGTATTGTTGGTCGATATCAAAATAATCCAGGAGAACATCATTGGAGTGTTGTTAAGACTATTCTTAAGTATCTTAGACGAACTAAAGAATATTTCTTGGTTTATGGTGGACAAAAGGAACTAATAGCATCTCATTACTCTGACGCTAGCTTCATGACAGATAAGGATGACTATAAGTCACAATCAGGATATATTTTTAATCTCAATGGAGCAGCAGTAGACTGGAAGAGTTCCAAGCAAGACACTACAGTTGATTCGACAACAGAAGCCGAGTACATTGCTGCATCAGAAGCAGCTAAAGTGGCCGTATGCATACGTGAATTCCTCAAAGAATTAGGGGTTGTTCCCAATGACAGTCGTCCAATAACCGTTTAGTGTGACAATACTGGTGATGTTCCACAAGCAAAGGAACCAAGATGCGACAAGAGGAATGGACATGTGCCGATGCGCTATCATGTGATTCGAGAGCAGATAGCAAGAGGAGAGGTTGCAATAGAACGTGTTTCCACTTAGGACAATTTGTCTGATCCCTTCACCAAACCTTTGAGCTGCCAGAAACATACTAGACATTTTGAGAATCTAGGTGTTAAACGCATTGGTGATTGGCACTAGGCCAAGTGAGAGATTGTTAGTATATATGTCCTAGCGACAATCATTTTTTAAAAGACACATGTACTTGATCACATTTAGTTTTTATATTTGATATATACATGGTATTACACTTTATGAATGATTGTTTTCGATTGTCAATATTTTATTCATAATTGTGTTCCCTTAGCTTTATGTTGTCAATAAGTAAGTGAGAGCTTATATGATATAACATAAGGTCCTAAAATAGCTCCAATCAATGATCATCAAGAAAGGGATATTGATGATATGTGATAAGATTGGTATGTGGACTGCATCATACTTTTAGGAAGTATAGTTGATCTCAAACTATGAGTTTCTGTAATTCATGATGGTCACATAGATATTTTAGAGAATATTGGCATACCCACCGAGAAACCATTTGATAAGTTCTATTCATGTGTCTATGGGATTATCGGCGTATAGAGTAGTGTAATAGTCCTCCGACTTGAGGTCAATACGTACTACATGTGCGAAGTGATATACTTTGACCATGACCAACGCTTTCACTCCAATCGGGGTAGATACGTCATGTGTTGGCTGCATCACGAAGCACATGGAGTAGTAATTGAGTTAAGAAAGGATTCATTCCACATAATAGATTAAGAGAGAACATTCTACTTCTCATATCTAGATGGATCATAAAGTCATTGGCCAATGCAAAGATATATTCGTTTTGGACATCGAATATGATCGTTATGGATCATCTAGAAAGATTGAGAGATAGAGACTAAGTTATTGGAATAGACACAATATCAAGTTCTAGACTTAGTTGAATGTTCGTTGAATGAAAGGACCGTATCACTATGAGCTCTATATTACAGGGAGTTTGAATAGTCCTCGCAAACGTCCTTATATATTAAGTTTGTCTGGTAAATCGTCTAGGGATTCTACTAAGACCTTAATTTGATTAGTGCTTAATATATAAGGCGCTATGGGTCACACGACAAGTGATTATACCTTCCGATTGAATTGTTAGAAGGAATTAAATATTATTAATCGGATTAAATAATATTTAATTAGTAATACTGAAAATGGATTAAATATTAATTAGATTAGACATATTTAATTCATGAAGTTGAAGAAGAGTTCTATTTGATAGAATTAATTAAGTAAGATAAATTAGACTTATTGTACTTAATTCAGATGTATTTTTAATTAAATAAAGTTGGTACTTTTCTTTATAATTTAGAATTAAAAAGAAACGAAAACTAAAGTAAATAATAATAAAGATGCAAAGTGGCGTGCAGCCAACTTTCATCTTATTATTAATTTGTTTAGTTTATTTATTTATTTAATTAGTTAAGTAAAATAGTTATTGGACCTAGTTGGACTAGAACTCATTAATTAGTAAGACTTTCATTCTGATTGGGAAACTAGTTTAGAACTAGTATAAATACATCCTCCTCCTTCATAAACTATAGACCACTTCAGATTCAGTATTACCAGTTTATTTCCCTGCGAAGAGATTTCCAAGCCTTTCTCTTAGGGAGATCTAACCGTTCTTTCGGAAAGGAGAAATCGCGTGGATACCAAAGGTCAAGGATTATCATCGCTAGGCTGGAAGATCTGTAAGTTCTAACTCAGATCAGTTATTATTATTATATTCGTTGTTTTGTCATAATCAGGAAAGATCTGTTTGGGAAAATTTTAAACTCCCGTTGTTGTACTTTCGAGGTACGTCACATCAATTTCCTAACAGTTGGCTCGGATATATTTGAGTCAAACACTGAAAGTACAAAACGGTGTTGGATCAGATTCGTATCCGTGCAAATTCTAGTAATGGTCGCAGCGCCATCTCCGTGTGTGGATCCATGATAGTATAAAATTGTTATTATTTATGTTTGTAATTTTGACTAGTTTTATTTGTTGTTGTTTGGGAATTACTCACTTTTGGTGTAATACTTTATTTTTCCTAGTTACTTGTAATTTGTATAGATTAGGGATTTTGTGAGCTTAAACTAGGTAAGGATCATCAAAAGGATCCTGGAAAGGTCAAGAAAAGTGCAAGGGAACAAAAGAAAGTGAAAATTTGGGAAAATAGTCAAAAACCCGACCGGGTTTTCCAAAAACCCGATCGGGTTTGACTTGACCCGAAGATCAAATCTGATTTGGTGGCAATTAAACGTGCAGGGTGAAGATTTGGCAATGATTTGTCTTTTACCCGATCGGGTAAACCAAAAACCCGATCGGGTAGATGTGACTAATGAAGATTCCGGGCAATTACTCAGGAAACCCGACCGGGTTTCTGAAAAACCCGGTCGGGTGAATGACCCTGCCACCTCCAAACACCTATAAATACAACCATTTTCCTTCCAATTTGAGCATCCCTTCTTCCATACTCCTAAGCTCAGTTTAGAATAGCATTTCTTTATATTTTTCTAGCTATGTTTAGTCTCTAAATGAGGAGCTAAACTTTCATTCTTGGTGTTGCTCTTGAAGCTTGTTGATTATTAAAGTTTTGAGTTATTTTATTAACTTCCTTCCTTGAATATTAATTCTTCTTTTAAATACTTTTTCTATATCAATGTTGGGGAGTGTTACTAAGATGACAATTAGTTAACATCTTGACATTAGTTATAGTAATAGTTATTTCTTCCTCTATGTTAATATCGGGGAGTGTTACTAAGATGACAATTAGTTAACATCTTGATATTAACTATAGTAGGATTCATCTTCTTTAATATTCTTCCTTGAATATTAATTAATTCCTATT